AGAAGAGCAGTTAGGCTTGTCCCCTTCCTGCACTTAGGAGGACAATCTTTAGTCCTTCACCAGCGGAGTGTTAGCTTTGGAGTTTGAAGATGATACCTTCTCATCCTGGCTTGTTGAGAATTTTTATCATGAAATGGTGCCATTTTTGTCAGATGGTTTTCTATATTTATGTAGGTGATTATGTGGTTTTATCCTTTCTTTTCACGTGGTGTGTGGCATTGAGTGAGTTGGGTAGTGAAGCCAACCTTGCATTCCGGCGCAGCCGTGGGCCTGGACTTTGTCCTGTGGGGAGTGTTTTGGCTACTAATTTAGTTTCTTTGCATTCTGTGTGTCTAATCATTTTTTATGTTTCTCTGTGGATAAATTTTGATGATTTGTCTTCCTGGGCTTTGTCCATTTCATCTCAGTTACCTAATGGGTTGGTGTGTAGTGGTCCACTATCTTCTGGTATAGTTCTTAAAAACATTTCTGTCAGGTTAACAATCTCCTCTTTGCTTCTGGTTTTAGTAATTTGAGTCTTCTTTCTCTTCCTTTCAGTCAGTCTTGGTAACATTGTCCTCTTTGTTCTTTTGGTTTTGCTGTTATTCCTCTTTTTTAAAAAACTATGTACAAATTTATTATTTGTTCTAGTTAGTCATAGATTTTGAGGAGACAACCAGCCAGTGCTGCCCTCGCCTGCAGTCCCGCCGTGGTGCTGGGTTCCTCTCTTCCTTTGGGTGGGGTGGGCCGACTCCTGCTGCTCCTGCCTGTATCAGAGCAGCTCAGCTTCGCCCGTTGAGTGTTTCTGTGTGACATTTCATTTGAAGAGTTGGTTTACTGCTGGAGTGCCCCCTCTCACTGGTACTCAGTGAAACCCTGCAGAACAGAACCAAGCTGCACGTGTTGACGTTCCTGCATGAAAAACAAGCCTGAAAGCCAGGTTGCAAAAGGTACACGTGTGACGGTGATATTAACATAGCATGCGGCACGGAGACCTGTTGCACACACTCTCTGGAGTGTTCCCCAAGGCGGAAGCACCTGTCTGGGCATTATGCATGCTAAGTACTTGGCAGCTGCCTCTGAGGATGCAGGAAAGGGAGTGGGACTGAGGAGGACTTCAGCTCTGGGTGACAGAGTGTTAGGATCTGGTGGAACTCAATCTCTGGGTGATGCTTGTGTGGATGTTTCTCACATTTTAGGTATCATTAAGCTGGCCTCGCCACCTGCAGGGACTTGTGACTCAGGGAAGACCTCAGGTTTCCGTCTTGGATGGCAGTAGTCATATCTGTGCCTTGTTGGTTTATGGGGACCAAAGGAACTGACATGTTGGATTCCGAGTAAGTGGAATCTCTGCTTGAGACGACTGTTCTTGATGTCTTCTGGCTTGCAGGAGCTTGGAGCAAACATGCAGGCTGTTGAGACTGGCTGAAGCCGAGTTGTGGTCATGGGTCCGTCCCTCTGCTTCTCGGTATGCATCATTCCTTTTGTAAAAGCATCGATCCAGCCCCTGTCACTGCCCTGGTCCATGGCCTGTGGTGGCTACGACATCAGCACTCAGGACAGTGTCTGGCATAGGGCAGGTCCTTATTGGCTGAGCAGATGGATCTGAGCTTTCTGGTTTCTTTTTCAGCGTGAGGGCAAATCTTATCCTGATATGTGCAGAAGTAAATGTGGTGTTTGGAGTTCCTTTAGAATTGTCTTCTGAAATCACTCTGTTCTCTTACTGACTTACTTGGAAGTCAAGAGTTGTAACCAGGCTCTTTGAATTCCCTTCACTTCCTGGTGTCCATCCTCTGTGAAGTGAAGCCTTCCTGGGCTCAGGATCAGGGAAGCCTGACATGAGCATGTTCCTGCTCACTGTGGCGGTGGCCCCTAGATGCCACTTTTATTCCCCGCCTCGTTCATCCTCTGCTTTGCCCTCAGACCTCATGCATCTGCTCTCTTCACCTAGAATTTTCTACCTGGTACATTCTTCTAGGTCTAGGTGTCAAGAAAAACCCAAGACTGGGTGTCAGTGTTCCCATGGTGTGTCTCGCAGGAACTACCATAGAGCATGACATAGGCCACCTTAATTTTTGCTTCTGAAGCTGTTATAAAATCCTTAATGATTTGGATTGTATTGTACTTATTTTTGCTTCCTTCATCCTGTCATAGAGTTGATATCCAACAATGTTTGTTACATTTTACTGAAAAATGTTCTGCTACAGGCATAGAAATGAATAGAAAGTAAAACACTGCAAAATGACCCAATGTAATGTTTTTTAAAAATATTTTTAATTGTAGATGGACATAGTACTTATATTTTATTTATTTTTATGTGGGTCTGAGGCTGGAACCCAGTGAGATGTGCCACACAAGCACTGTACCACTGAGCTACCACCCTAGCCCCAAGGTAATATTTTAATGTATATGAAAGATGACATCCTCAAGCCAGTTGGGAGGAGAGCTTATAATAAGTGGTATTAGAACAATTGATTTTAAAAAAAGTTTCCTAATAAACACTATGTAGTGAAATAAAGCAAATTATAGATGGATTTTAAAATAAGGGTTAAAGATGTGAAAAAAATGGAAGTGTGAAAAAGCACATAGTTGGGAATTTATGCAGTTTCAGAAGGGGGGGTCTTCCCCTTGTGGTCACCAAAGTGGATCCTATGTGAAGGAGACAAGAGTGGTGGACCTTGCCACCGGTGACTAGGAAAACAGATTTGTCACTGGTGTTCATTTTCCTTTGCTACTCTAACAAATTGGCAAAAACTTATTGCCTTACAACAATGTATGTGTCATCTTAGGACTCTGGATGTCAGAAGTCTGACAAAGGTCTCTCTGGGCCAAAATCAAGCTGTCAATAGGATCTCCTTCTGGAGGCTCCAGGGAGAACCCTTTTCTTTCCCTCCCCAGCTTCTGGAGGTGCCCATGCGCCCTGGTGTGTGAGGCCTTTCTCCGTCTTTGAAGCCGGAAATGATCCGTCTCTCTCTGGCCTCTTTCATAGTTATGTCTGTCTCCAGTCCCTTTGGCCATAGTTGGTAGAAAGGGTTCTGCTTTCAAGTGGATTAGAGTTGGCCCACCTGGAAAACCCAGGATACTCTCCTATCTCATTGTGTATATTTTTAATCAAAATTGCAAAGCCCCCTTTGCCATCTCACTTACATCCACAGCTTCTGGGCACTGGGACATGGACATCTTTTGTGGGTCTGCTGTTTTGCCTGCTATAATGCCTGAATGATCAAGAAGCAATTCTTTTTTATTAAGGGGCTTTTAAAAATTGGTAAGAAGGTGAACTCTTGTTAGCAATGGACAAGGGTATGAACAGTTCACAAAAAAAAAAAAAAAAAAAAGAGGTGCCTGTGAACAAGAGGCCTAGAAGCTGCCAGCCCTACTCCTCATTAGGAGGCACATGGCCAAGACTGAGGGCACTCTCCTGTCTACTTAGCAACAATTGGTGGCCCGCCAACCCCTGAACTGTTCGTTGGCAGGGTGGACAACAGCCCCCTTGTTTGGGAGCCTATGTCCCCAGGACCACATCCTCAAGAGTCTCTCAGAGTGGTGTGTGAGTTCTTGTCTCCAGAGGTGTGTTGGCATTTTTGTAGTCAGTTTTACGTGGCTCGAGTGTTCCCCAGTCGACATTGGTTGAATCCATTATATTGTGGCCATACGGTGGCAAAATGTGAAGTTGGAAGTCATATTGTCTAAGGGGTGGTCAGGCCAGTGACGGGGTAGCTGGTCCTCCCTCTATTCCTATGGTTCTAGAAACTTTCTATTGTGAACAGTTATAGATTCACAAGGACTTGCAGAGGTGAAGAGTACTCTTTGCCCTGTGTTGTTCTTTTGAATCTACTTATGCTGTATATATTTTTTTGTGCATCCAATACGTATGAGGTAGTTAAAACTGAGGAAGAATAAAGTAATGATAGGAGGAAGTAGTCATGATCTTTTCCTGACTAACAAAGGGTTTCTTTTTTTTTGAGAGAATGACAATGTTCACTTCTCTCTGTGAGTATCTTCTCGTATTGCCCACAAGGTACTATACTGGGTCACAGTGCCTTTTCCCTCCTTTGTGGACCATGTCAGTTAGGGTGTCTGATGGTGGCTTCAACAAGTAGGGACTTGTTTATTTCATGTTCCTGGAGTCAAGGGAGATGGTCAGGCAGACCTGCTGTTTCCATCTCCTGTCTTGCCACTCTTCCTGGGTGGATTTGTGTCTCATATTTACTTCTCATTCTTGTGGGGTATCTGGGGTCCCAGGCTTTTCCTCTGGCCAGGAGGAGGGGTGGAGTGGGGCGCCAAGGGCTGAGCGTGCTGGCTAAGCCAGCTTTTTTTGTTTGGCTGTGCTGGGGATGGAACCTAGGGCCTTGCTTGTGCTAGGGTAGTGCTCTACCACTGAGCCATGTCCCCAGCCTCTAGCTTGTCTGTTTTTGTTAGAAAAACAGTGGCCTCTGTTCTTTCTCCCTGACCTGACCGCATTATGAGGCTGTCCCAGCTGAAGTCAGCCAAGGGAAGGCTCAGCCGGCCACCATGTCTACCGTGAGGGGTATTTTGTTTCCATCTGTTTTCCAGTGTACCTTGATAAACCTAAGGGTTATATAAAACCATTAATTCTTTAGAAACATTATGTTCTTTTGGTGGTGCTGCGTTTGACATTCAGACAAAGTGACGAGAATTCCCAGACAGGCATTTGTATGTGTTTGTGAACAGCTTGTGTGACGGACAGTGCCCCCAAGGGCCTCGTCTCTCAGTGGGTGCCTGAGTTCTGTGGTGGTACCTGGAGGGCTGTGGTGCCTGTGTGGGCCCGTTCTCAGGAAGGGCCTAAATGCCCTGCTTGTGTGTGGTGGGTGGGCCTCTGTGGTGCCACGCATTCCTCCTCGACCTGCCCTTAGGACCTTGCATGGAGGAGGGTTGTGGTGGCCCATGAGTTGCTGCTTCCACAGTGGTGTGGCTTATGAGGAGCTGGCCCTTCTCCTGAGTCAGTGGTGGGCTCTCAGCAACGCCAAAGAAAAGCTGATTTGTTTTCTCCTTTTTGTTAGCATCCAGCATGTGTATGGAGCCCAGCACCCACCTTTTGATCCACTGTTACATGGCACGTAAGTGACGTTTCCTTTCACTTTTGGCTTCACAGCTGCTTTGAGGAGGGCTGGGGTAGCCAGAGTCTTCCTGCTGTCCTCCAGCTCACTGAGACTCCCAAGGGCAGGGAAAGTAGCCTCTCATTTGGCAAACGTGGACCAGGCAACTGCTTCTTGCGAGACACCGCTGTCCTTGCCTAGCTCATCCTGCAGTGGGGCAGGCGACACGAAGGCTGCAGCTGCATGTGGGTTGGGGGTGGAGCCTTGCAGGACAGGGAGCTGATGCCGTTAACTGGTGCAGCCTGGCTTCAGGTCGTTCCTGGAAGCTCATCTGACTCCCCCTCTCTTGCCTGCTGCCCTGGTCCTTGCTGCTACACCACAGCAGGTGGGAGCAGAGGGAGTGGGTCTTGGTGGGTACTTGTGGGAGGGTTCTGGTGTGGCTGCAGCACTCACCTGTGTGCTCGCTTCCTGACATCTGCAGGGCAGATGTTGTATGTTGTCACATTTCTGGGGAGTCTCCTTTAATGATACTGTTTCCAAACATGCACACCACAGGCTGTGCTCTCTGCACAGTCCTTGCTGCCCCAGCCCCTCAGCCGCTGCTGTGGGAGCTTTGCTGAGGTGCTGGGAGCATGCAACTGTGTTTGCGGTCCAGACCTAAATGAGTTCAGGCTGTGAGTCTGAATAGCATTGCCCCAAAGTCCTGTGCTTCCTAGTGGGGTTCCGTGGGTGGGATGACAGCTGCTGCTCAGCTTGGCTGCCCTAAAAACCTTCTCCTTGCCGTGGCTGGATCCTCCTGCACTTTGCCTCGTTTCATTTTGCTCTCTGTGTGACTCGTGTTTGAGTTCTCACAGCACCTTCCTCTAGACTGAGCGCCTTCCTGAGTGGGGGCTCTTTCCTGCTGATTTAGGACGTGTGCTGCCGCTCCTCTGAGTGGGTGCAGTAACGATGCCTTTGCTTTGCAGTTTGCTCAAGTCCACACCCAAGGTGCCAACCACCCCAGTGAAGGCCAAGAGGGTCAGCACCTTCCAGGAGTTCGAGAGCAACACTAGTGATGCCTGGGATGCTGGGGAAGATGATGACGAGCTCCTGGCCATGGCGGCCGAGAGCCTGAACACTGAGGTGGTCATGGAGACAGCCCACCGCGTCCTGCGCAACCACAGCCAGCGGCAGGCCCGGCCTGTGCTGCAGGAGGAGCCAGTGCCCATGCAGGAACCAGCACCTGCAGCAGAGCCGCTCACAGCTCCAAGCGTGGACCTCCGGCTGGTGAAGTCCGTCAGCGAGAGCCACACATCCTGTCCCGAAGGTAGGCGGGGCGCACCAAGGTAGTGACATGCCTTTCGTCCTGGGAGACAGGAGATGAGAGGGTGCCTGTTGTTCTTATGCAGGACTCCCAGCCAGAAGGTCACCTTCCATAGGGCTGCAGTGTCCTCAGGCAGGGGAGGTGGTCTGCGCTTTCCCCTTCAGGTCCTGATGTGCTTTTCTTTGCTCCTCTGAGCTGTCACTTTCCTCCAGAGGAAGTGACAGGGCTGGTGGTTTTTGGGGTGATTCCCAAGAGGGCCACTGAGGAGCATGGTGTCTTGTGGGATCCCCATCTTCCTCTGAAAGATGCTGGCTGTGCCGAAGGCTGTCTTGCATCCCTTCCTCAGGTTTAGGGTGCTGTCTCCGCATTTACAGATGAGAAAGCCAGAATCATCATGGTAGCCTTGGATGCAGACCTGCGCTTCGTACCTGGTCTAGTTTTCAAAAACGCCTTCTGGGAATTAATGAACTTCTAAAATGTTCCATGTCTCTTGAGCTAGAATGTATGAGCTATTTCACATGATCATTTTTCAGTATTGGAATGTAGCAAATTTGAAAGTCTTTAAGCTTACGGATGGACAGCCAGATGTGGCTCTTGCAGTTGATTGAAAGTCCTGATGATGATGGAAGTACACGCTTCCCACCTTCCCATGCTTAGTCCTGCCAGGGTGCTTTCAGCTGTGGCACTCCCGGTGTTGCCTGCTCACAGACTGTGCTGATGTTGAAACTTGACAAGCTGTGAGGGCCGCTTCTCAAGCCCCTGGGGGTCTGGGTTGAGTTTGTGATAGCTGCCTCTGTTAGTGATGGTCTTCCACACTCCAGATGCCAGGGCTGAGAGTGGGCAGGACTAGGAGTTGTATGGTGGGATATCCTGAGCAGATGCAAGCTCAGAATGCATCCATCCAGCTGGGGGAACCATGGGATGTCACCCAGCATGCCACCTCCTGCAAAAAAAGCAAAGTGATGGTGCCCAAGGAACTGTGTGGCTGGGAGAGGGCTCTTGAACTCCTTGCTTTGGCCTTCGCCTGCCATGGGGTTGGTCATCTCTCCCATGTCTGCTTTCTGAGCAAGCTTTTTTTTCGGCACTTCAATACAACAACAACAACAACAAAATAATAATAGTATTTATTGATCATTTGCTGTCGCTAGCCCTTTAATAAACAACTTTGCAGTAGCTCCTTAACCTCATGTCTTCTAGGAGGGAAGGCATGTTGTCTAGTCCTCTTTCATGGATGAGGCATTGAGAGGCCTAGGGCTGTTCCCTGAGTGGTGGGACTGGTGTTCAGGTCCAGGACACCTGGCTTGGAACCCTGCTATTAGCTGCTGGCCCTACCCCATAGAGAAGGGGTTCTCATCAAGGTGATCCTGCCCACAGGGCCCTGGGGCACTGTCTCTGGACACATCAGGTGTATATGTATGTAACTGTGTGTGGTACAGGGCTGGAGATACTACTTAGCATCCCGCATTGCTCAGGGCAGCCTCTGCCCCCAACAGAGACTGATCAGTCTCTTGTATCTGTAGCAGTGAGCCTGTGGAGCCCTGAAATCGGAGGCACCTGCTGGGGACACTGGTCGCATTGGTGGCTGGGAGCAGAAGTTGTGCAGTGTAGGGGGAGAGTAGGTGTGCTCGATCCCCCGGTCCTGGCCTCTGAGATCACTGGACATTTTCCTCAGCAGTGGCATGAAGATGGCACACTTCTGTTGTTTTCAGGGACTTAAGATCATAGCTTGGGTGAGTATTAGTGGGGTCAGGCAAATTTGTGAGTGGATGAAATGTAGAGTGTCCAGGAGCCAGAGACCCCATTTTGTCTTGTTGTAGAGGGTGCAGGGTAAGGTCATGGAAGTCTTCAGGGAGGAGGGATGTCTGTTGGTGTCCAGGCTCAGAAGGTCAAGGCTTTAGGGTCTGAAACAGTCTCTCTGGGCAGGGCTGTGTCTGACCGTCCTGCCTCTGTGCACTTTGCAGGTCTCTGAAGGCAGGATGGTGCCCCAGCTGTGTGTTCTTGGTATCCTGTGCAGCTCCTTGTGCGTGCTTCGCTTGGGCCCTGTGCATCGCCCCTCAGGGCCCTCACGCAGGCTGCTCAGGCCATCAACCTGAAGTTCCATTTTACTTTTCTGCTGATAGGAACAGTGTTTTGCCCTTCTGAGCATCCTAAACCCTTTTGTCCTGTGGGGCACAGTCCAGTTCCAGTGATTGTGTTCACGGGCATCTGTGCTTCTGCCTTCCTGTGTGCTGCCTTGGGGACCTCAACATCATCTGCGAGTACCTGTGGCCTGCCTGCCGTAGTCAGCCTTGGTCTTCAGCCCTGCAGGGTAGCTGGATTGAACATGCAGTGTGGTGCAGTGGTAGGCCCTGGACTCACCAGCCTTGGGCTCACCGGCCCTGCGCTGTGGGGCGATGCAGAGGTCCCAATGCAAAGGTACAAGCAGCCACCTGGCCAGATTGTGAGGGGAGGAGGCTGCTGGGCAGGACGAGCTGCAGGGTAGCACTCGTGCCCTGCCCCTCTGCAGCTGCTGCCAGTGGACCTGCTGGCTCCACGGAGCTGAGCTTTGCGCCATTCCCTGGCGTGCATTCTTGCTTCCTCTTGTATTCTGTTTTTTGGAAGATGAGGTTGCTGGGTGGGATTTAGACTAGGAGTCAGAGCCCACAGAGCCTCTTGCCGGTTGGTCCGAGGTAGTACTGCTGTGTGACCTGGAAGCCCTGAGCTCCTTTTCGTGGCTGTCCCTGGCCCAGGTTCCTGGATGTAGCATACTGTTATGCCATCCCCAGTGTCCCAGAGAGCCCAAGGGTCCCAGGGGTGTAGCAGCAGGAGATGCCCTGGTGGGGGTGGGGGCCTGTACTTTGCTGCCACTGCAGCCCTCCCTTGCCTGCCTGGCTTCCTTGGCTTCCTTGAGATGCTGTTCTCTTCCCAGCCTTCCTCCCCAGGGCTGTGACAAGGTCTGGGAAGTGGGCAGGCCAGGGGAGTCTGGAGGCAGTGGCGTCAGAGGTGCCCTGGAGATAGCAGGAGGTGCTCTTGGTGTGTCTTGGTTCCTCCCTCACTGTTCTCCTGCCTTGGCAGGCTGCATCTTTTCTTGTTAGATGTTACTGGAGGCTCTCTGCCCACGTATAGTTCTGGGTGAGCCCTGCAAGCCACCAAGGGACGGTGGCACTGCAAGTGAGAGGCCACCTTGATGCAGGAGGAGGATGTGGGCAGCAGTGGGCAGGAGGCTCACCCTCACCTTTCCCTGTTCTCACTCTTGCAGAAACTGCCAGCAACGTGATCCCTCTACAGAGGTCTCAGTCTCTTCCCCACTCGGCCACCGCTGCACTGGGTGGGACGTCTGACGTGAGCACCCTTGGAGGCTCTGCTCTGAGCGAGAGAGAGGCTTATCGTCTGGACAAGTTCAAGCAGTTGCTCGCGGGCCCCCACACAGACCTTGGTGAGTCCCTGCAGGCTGGAGGACGCCAGTGGCCATTCTAAAGGAGACGCTGGGCATGGTACATAATGCACATGTCCCTGTGTGAGTGCCTCATAGGGGTTGCCGTGCTCCATTCCCATGCCAGAGCCTGCTAGGACACCAGGGATGCTGACAGCGTCCTGTGAGGGGCTGTTAGTGCCTTTCCAGCTTCTTCTTCCTCTGCGCCTGGATGGACCTCTCCTGCTGTCCTCTGCGGCTCCTTCAGGCTGGCTAGGTGGCTGTGTTTGTTTTCATAAGCATGGGTTGAAGGCTGGCTCACAGGGCGAGGGCTGGCTGGTTACCACCCTCCTGCTCTGCTGACTGCTTTCCCGCCAGAAAGCAGAGGGATCAGAGGGTGGGGAGACAGACAGCTAGGCCCCTGTGGGTCCTGGGTGCAGGCTGGGGGTTGGGGAGGGCAGTCACCAGTGCTGGTCTTCCCCAGAGCAGCGTTGTGGCCAGACCCTGAGGTGTGTGCTCGCCCTCAGGTTCCTCTGGCAGAACCCCACTCTCAGGAAGCTCTGTTGTCAGTGCCACTCTGCACTGGGTGTTTGCTGGATGGTGGAAGGTGCAGTGCTTGGCTGGGCCAGGAGGTGGCGATTGGGGCATGTGGATGCGGGGAGGGCTTACCCAGCCCTTGTGCTCAGGAGGCTGGGGCTGAGGCTGTGAGGCAGAAGGTAGAGAGAGGGCAGGACGTAGTTCGGAGCCATGAAGGAGGGGAGCTATGGAAAAGTCTGAAAAGCTTCTGATACACAGCTCCAGTTCTGAGGGGATTTCCTCTGCTTAGTTTCATTTATTTTTTGACTCAGTGACACACGTATGTGTCACAGTATTACAAAGCACAGAAGGGGTAAGTGAGAGTGAGCCAGAGCCTCTCGCCCTGTCTCGGGCTCCACTTCCCTCCTTTTCATTATTCCAGATGTCTTCTTCCAGAGAGAGCCAGTGTGCACATTGTGTTAAATATTGTATTTTGATGTCGTTTATTGTTGCAGAGAAGTGGCCACTCAGTTTGCCCTCTCCCAGATTCACCATTCTCTACATGTGTTTGTATGTGTGTATTTTTTCCTGAGCCATTTGAAACTCAGTTGGAGATATCCTCTTCTACTCTGGAAAACTTTATTGTGAATTTTCCAAGAGTGAAGATATCTTCTCAAGTAATCGTAGTGCAATTTTCAAGTAAAGCAATTCAACATAGACATTGTACTGTTTTTTGTTTTTTTTTGTACTGGAGATTGATTGAACTCAGGGCCACTCGACCACTGAGCCACATCCCAGCCCAATTTTGTATTTTATTTATAGACAGGGTCTCACTGAGTTGCTTATCTCCTCACTTTTGCTGAGGCTGGCTTTGAACTTGTGATCCTCCTATCTTAGCCTCCCGAACCACTGGGCACCATTCTATTTTAACAATACTGCTGTAATAATCTGTCGTCCATAGTCACACTGTGCCGTTCTTCATCACTTTGTTCCTAGTACGGAACCCAAGCTGGCTGGTACATTCCTTTCAGTCCCCGTATGCTTAGCTTTTCATTGTGGTTTTTGATCTTGACATTTTTATAGAGTGAGTACAGGCAGTTATTTGGTAGAATGTCCCTGAGTTTGCTGTTTCCTCATGATGAGATCCAGGTTGATAAGTTTTTTGGCAGGAGTATCATGTAAGAGATTTGTGTTCTTGGTCATCATAGCAGGAGGCGTGAGGTCGGTTTGTCCTAACATGGTCATACTGACTCTGGCCACTTGATGGAGGTGGTGCTGCCAGCTCTGCACACTGAAAAGTTACTCTTTTTCCCTTGATAATTAAGAAGTGACAGCTAGACATGGTGGTACATATCTGTAATCCCAGGTGCTCAGGAGGCCGAGGCCTCAGTTACTTAGTGAGACCCTGATTCAATATAAAAATAAAAAGGGCTGGGTGTACTTCAGTAGTAGAGTGCTTGCCTGGCATGTAGGAGGCACTGTGCTCAGTCCCCAGTACTGCAGGAAAAAAAAAAAAGCTTGTAGAAACTTTTGAGCCTACACACACACACACACACACACACATACACACACACACACATACACACACACACGTATGTATATTTTAACCTTTATTTACATGTGGTGCTGAGGTACATGAGGTACCTCACATGAATTAGGCAAGCACTCTACCACTGAGCTACAGCCCCTGCCCCTTACAATATATATATTTTTGCCACATGAAAGGTAATAGTTAACTATATGTTTTCCTATAACAGGTCAGGGGGCATCCCTTGGATGCATATCACATAATTTATTTCTCCAGCTCCCTAGGTTATTCCTTGTTTTCTGTTATTTACAGACAACTTGAAAACTTCAGTATCTGAACCTCTGATGATAACATTTGCAGAATGGCCCTAGATGTAGGTGGGAGAGAGGGAATAGTACAGGATGGCTCCTGTGAGTTTGGCGTAAGAACTGGGCAGCTAGAGGTCCCATCCACCAAAATAGGAAATAAAGGCAGACTGTTCTTGCAGGAGCATGGGCTGTGGTTTATCTGTATTTCAGATGCTTCCTTTGCAAGCGTGCGGTGTGCCTTCTTTGCAGGGTCTGGGAGCAGCTGAGGCAGGGGAGGGGCAGAACCCCATGGTGCTTGTGGGTCAGGCCCTAGATTTGGACTGCCTCTGTGGAGATCCTGAGCGCGTGGAGAGGTCCCGGGCCTCAGGGTCCTTGTGCATCTGGAAGACGTGCTGATGGCAGGACTGAGTTTGCAGATTGAGTGGGACGGTGCATGTAACATGCTTAGGTGAGAGGGCCTAGCACATAGTATGCTCACAGATGTCGTTTACTTTTATTATTGTTATTTTATTTTCACTGGCCTACTTACTCTCTAACTTGATTTTTCTGATGTTGATTATTATGGTATGGTAACTTTAGTGCTGAATGATAAATCGAGGTTGTTCTCAGACAGCTTCCTGTTGTGCTCAGAGGTTTCTAAAAGGCGAGAGGTTAGGAGGTGTCCGAGGGAAACAGATGTGCTTGGTGGGAGTTCTGGTCTAGTCAGGCTCTGCTCACCAGCTAGAATTTCCTTGTGGATTTGGTCATTGGAGCAACTTTTGGAAATTAAAATCATACTTATAAATGAAGCTTCCAGGGTTGTAAGAGAATGAATATGTATGGGTAAGTCAAAAGGTTAGCATGTAGAAGTCAGATTCCTTTGTGAGGTTGGTTCAATTATGGATTTTTTCTTTCTTCAGAATTCTATTTAAATAGTACAATCTAAAGCCAAAAGTTAAAGTCAGAGCTTAAACTGTACTGGATTTATATTTAGTGGTAAGAGAAAACATAGTGGGTAAATTGCCTGTTTCCTAAGGCCTGTAAGGTAGCTCCGAGAAGAGTGGAACATATTCCTTTCACATTACGTAAAAATTTAAGTGGCAAATATTTGCCGACTTCGGAGAAGCAAATTGCTGATGTGCGAAGTGCCACAGAACGATCGTGCCTGCTGCATATCACCGTCCAGCGAGTGCTGCTTTGTTTAGCTTGTGCTGCTAGGAGCCTGGGGAAGAAAGTAGCAAATAGAACTTAACAGCTCATTCCCCTCTTAGCATTGACTCAATATTTACTCACACAGAGACTGCCTGTTTGAAACCTGAGAAAATGACACTTAGAGGCGTCCTGTTTGTCACGTGTGTCTGGTGAAGGGGAGTATGATTTGGCAATGTGCAAAACACGCGGTTTCCTGAGAGCTGCTGAGCGACTCCTCGTAGCGGAGGGCCTGGAGGGCGCACTGTGTGGAGCATTCAGACAGTAGAAGAGGCGGCACCCTGCTCTTGGAGGAGTGGGACCGGCGTCCAGTCATGTTCCTGCTTCCCTGAGGGAGCATCTAGTCTGGCCTTGGATCAGGAGGGTTGTCTGGCCCTGGGCGGAAGGTGGCCAGGTGTGGAGCCCTGTGCCTGGGCAGTTTGGATGTGGGCAGATGCCCTTAGTGTCCATGGCTGGAGGACAGTACAGGGCCTGCTGTGATAGGGGGAGTCACTTGCTGGCTGTGCCCTCACTCCTATGTGACTGACTCAACAAGTGATTCATCCTCCTGGTCTCCTCAGCTGTGAAGAGGAAGCAGGTCTACTTGCAAGGTCCTTGGTGTTCGCAGGGTCTACTCCTTCAGCCAGTATGTTTCGCGCCCCTGCTGTGTCAATAGTCACTGTGAGGAGTTGGGAGCCGGCCCTGAGGGCCTTCCTTCAAGGAGCTAGCCTTTTAGTGTTCAGGGGCAGATACACTCAGCACTCCAGATGCCAGCGGAAGTCCACAGGAATGTCTGGAGGACACAGCTATGCCGAGAGGTAGCTCTGGGTGGTCAGCCAAGACCCTGAAAGGGTGCTTTCTGGCTGAGACCCTTGAAGGGAGGTGTTTGAAGACGGGGAAGGCCTTCCAGGGAGAAGAGTGCAAAGGTCCTGTGGTGGGAGAGCTTCAGAAATGCTTGAGAAGTGGCAAGCAGCTATGGAGCTCTGGCCTTGGTGGGGTGGGGAGAAAGGGAGAAAGCCAGTCGGGTGGGAAGTGGCCAGGTCCCAGTATTGAGAAAGCCAGATGAAGGCTCTCTGCTTTCCTCTGGACGCAGTGTGAAGCCTCGGGGAGGTTTGGAACCCGGACTAGTGAAGCTTGGAAGGAAGGACCTTGAAGAATTTCACCAGAGCATTGCCTGGGGCCCTGGACTAGGTAGATTCCTTGGGCAGCCTTGTTGGTATGGAGGTAGGGAGGGGCAGGGGATCCAGGGGTGGTTGATGGAGGATGAAGGCCTTGGGGATGGGTGAGGTGGGGTGGTCAGTTTCTGGCACTGCTGGATGGAACTGGGTCTTGTTGGTTGGACATGATGTTGGGTAGACTGGGAGAAGGAGGGAGCCAAACCATCCGAACTTGGAACCTAGGGGTTGCAGGAATAGGGGATAAAAACCAGAACATGTTAGGAGCTCGGGGATGAAAGAAATATGTCGCTTCAGCTGGGAAACAAAGTCATGGCCTGAGGAAACAGA